TTGAGGTCACGGGAGAAATCATGTTGCGAGTAATCATGTGAAGTTGATATGTGTTCGATATTTTGATGGTATGTATGTGGCCATTCTCTAAGTGGTGTCTGCTATGTCTTGAGCTTGCGTTGGTTTTCCTTGAAGAGGAAAGGGTGATGCAGCAAAGTAGCATAAGTATTTCCCTCAGTTTTTGAGAACCAAGGTATCAATCCAGTAGGAGGCTCCTCAAAAGTCCCTTGCACCTACACAAACAAACAAGAACCTCGCAACCAACGCAATAAAGGGGTTGTCAATCCCTTCACGGCCACTTGCGAAAGTGAGATAAGATAAATATTTTTGGTATTTTTATGATATAGATTGGAAAATAAAAGATGCAAATAAAAGTAGATGGAAAACTTATATGATAAAAGATAGACCCGGGGGCCATAGGTTTCACTAGTGGCTTCTCTCAAGATAGCATAAGTATTACGGTGGGTGAACAAATTACTGTCGAGCAATTGATAGAAAAGCGCATAGTTATGAGATTATCTAGGCATGATCATGTGTATAGGCATCACGTCCATGACAAGTAGATCGAAACGATTCTGCGTCTACTACTATTACTCCACACATCGACCGACTCCTGCCTGCATCTAGAGTATTAAGTTCATGAAGAATAGAATAACGCATTAAGAAAGATGACATGATGTAGAGGGATAAACTCATGCAATATGATATAAACCCCATCTTTTTTATCCTCGATGGCAACAATACAATACGTGCCTTGTTGCCCCTGCTATCACTGGGAAAGTACACCGCAAGATTGAACCCAAAGCTAAGCACTTCTCCCATTGCAAGAAAGATCAATCTAGTAGGCCAAACCAAACTGATAATTCGAAGAGACTTGCAAAGATAACTTAATCACACATAAAAGAATTTAGAGGAGATTCAAATATTTATCATAGATAAACTTGATCATAAACCCACAATTCATTGGATCTCGACAAACACACCGCAGAAAGAGTTACATTGAATAGATCTCCAAGAAGATCGAGGAGAACTTTGTATTGAGATTCAAAGAGATATAAGAAGCCATCTAGCTAATAACTATGGACCCGAAGGTCTGTGGTAAACTACTCACAACTCATCGGAGAGGTCTTGGAGATGATGTAGAGGCCCTCTGTGGTTAATTCCCCCTCCAGCGGAGCGCCGGCAAAGGCTCCAAGATGGGATCTCGCGGATACATAAGATTGCAGCGATGGAAAAAAAATTGGTGGTGCTCCTGGATGTTTTCGGGGTACGTGGATATATATAGGAGGAAGAAGTAGGTCAGCTGACGTTCGAGGGGCCCACAAGGGTGGGGGGGGGGCGCCCACCCCCAGGGGGCGCGCCGGGCACCCTCGTGGCCGCCTCGCTTGTTGCTTGACATCCACTCCAAGTCCCCTGGATTGCATTTCTTCCAAAAAGATCGCTCCCGAAGGTTTCATTCCATTTGGACTCCGTTTGATGTTCGTTTTCTTCGAAGCACTAAAATATGCACACAAAAAAATAGCAATTCAGGCTGGGCCTTCGGTTAGTAGGTTAGTCCCAAAAATGATATAAAAGTGTAAATTAAAGCCCATAAACATGCAAAACGGGTAATTTAATAGCATAGAACAATCAAAAATTATATATATGTTGGAGACGTATCAGTGTCATGTGAACGTCGACTACATGACACTTCACCATATTTGGGCCTAAGGGAATGCATTGTGGAGTAGTTATTAGATGGTGGGTTGCGAGAGTGGTAGAAGCTTAAACCCCAGTTTATGCGCTATTTCATAAGGGACCGATTGGATCCAAAAGTTTAATGCTATGGTTAGAATTTATTCTTAATACTTTTCTCGTAGTTGCGGATGCTTGCGAGAGGTTTAATCATAAGTAGGATGTTTGTTCATGTAAGAACAACACCTAAGCACCGGTCCATCCACATATCAAATTATCAAAGTACCGAACATGAATTAAGCCAACATGATGAAAGTGACTAGATGAATTCCCGTGTACCCTCAAGAACACTTTGCTTATCATAAGAAACCGTTTTGGCCTGTCCTTTGCCTCAAAAGGATTGGCCTACCTTGCTGCACTTTTTTTACTACTATTGTTACTTGCTCGTTACAAATTACCTTGCTACCAAACTACTCCGCTACTTACAATTTTAGCACTTGCAGATATTACCTTGCTGAAAATCACTTGTAATTTCCTTCTGCTCCTCGTTGGGTTCGACACTCTTACTTACCAAAAAGGGCTACAATTGACCCCATACACTTGTGGGTCATCAACCGGGGCGAAGAGAGTGGCTTTTTATAGCTGCCCGGGGCCGACAAGTGTGTGTGTACGCGTGGCAGGAGGAGACGGCGAGTCGCTACTGCGCCGCCCATGGGGAATCAGCGAAAGGCTGACCGGCGACAGCCTTGGCATTGATTCCCGGCGGGGAACACGAGGCGACGAGGGAGGACGATGATGCACCGTGTCGCTGACTCGGCCGCCCCATTGGGCTTTCGCGCCAAAAAAGCTCCCCCGGCGCCCCCACGCGCCCCCAACGCGCCGGGTTCGACCTGGGTGTGTTGGTGCCATTTCCGGGCCGAACCAGCAAAAATTGGTCTTCTGGGGGCGCCACTGGGCTGTTTTTTTAGCGTCGGTGCTAAAAAATGGCCTGGGGGTGGGGCCTGTTGGGGGCGCGTCTGGAGATGCTCTTACAGTGTAAACTGGCCTAAAACATTGAAGAAGCACATGAATTACAGTGCCAAAACGGAGGATATTACATTGTTAAATCTGGGGAAATATAATGCAAAACTGGGGCACAAAAAAAGTGAAAAAGCATGTGATATTTACATAGTAAATTGGGTCATATTACAATGTAAATCAGGGGCATATTACACTGCAATTACAGTAATCTAACACTAAAAATCAGAGGTAATTATAGTGCTACTACACATGGAATTACATAGAATTATCCAGGAATTACATTGCTAGTACATAGAGAAATATAGTGAAATTATTCAGGAAAATACACTTTAAAAACTTGGGAATCATTTACAACCACACATAACACATGTTACTCTGCAAAAATCTTATACAGGAGTAGGCACTGAAAAAACCCCAACACAGAGAAACAATCACCTAAATCATAAAACACCAATAAAACACCCAAAATGCAAACATCTACAACGAAATTTAGGGGGGTTGGAGAAGAAAATTACATGAAACAGCCAGTTCGAAGCAATACAGAGGCTACCCTATCAGCGGAAATCACAAATACCTAACCATAAACCCTCTGATGACCTACATCTCGACAAATTTTCAAAAACGAGACACCATACCAGCGCCTACAGCCGAGGGGAATGAACTCATGAAGACCTAGCAGAACCAAAACCCAGAAACAATAGACGAATTCGTATATCTACAAAAAAAGCGGTGGGGGAACCAGCAAAATCTCACATACCACGGAGGAGAACCAACCGCCACAACTACAAGTGCAAAGAAACTTTACAACAACACACCAGGAACCTACACATACCATGAATCCAAGCAAAACTAGAGCTAGATCTGGAAGCTACAGCAGCAGAGACAAGCGAAATCACACGGGGAAGAGAGAGACAAGCTAAGCTAAAGCAGCAGAAACATTATCCCAGAACAAACCAACCGACATGAACACCACAGAATCGCCTCCTCTTCTCCGCTGCTCAAGCGCTCTCCCTCTCGCTCGCTCTCTGTCTCCCTATCGTTTCGGACAGTACAAATGGGGAAGGGAAATGCACCGAGAAAACCACACCCAACGGGCAGCGGTAAACAGGCTGCACCGAAATGAATCACGCACCCGACAAGAAAAGAAAGGAGACCCAAAACGTCAACTCCCTGCGCACATCTCGACGCAAGGATGAACGGACACATATTTGAATGAACGCCAATTGTAAAACACTTGACTGAAAAATAGCAAAACCGTAGTCTTTTCGTTGGTTCTCCGGTCTAGTTTTCCATTCGATTCTCTCATTTTGTGTCTGTTTTTTTTCTCATGGTTTATTATTTATTTTATTTTTAGTTTCATGCTTAATTTTATTTTCTTAGAAAATAATTGATTACCAAATAAAATCTTAAAACTTATTTAGCTAAAAATTCACTGGCAGGATTTGATAAACATTTATTTACCAGTCACATAAATCTCTTTGAAATAATATGATGAACATTTTCATAACATGCGACGAACATTTTCTTGTATGTGATAACATTTTTTAATACTTGTGGAGTCTTTTTCAAAACTTCATAAATAATATTTGATAGGCAATTATGCTGGAACTTTTTTTTAAACATGAAGGAAAAAATATCAATATGCTCTTAATAATGTTTCAATATGCGAAGATTTTTTAATACAAACTGAACCTTTTTAAGAAAAAATTGTGTATCGAAAAATAAATATTCATGTAATTCAAAAGGTGTTCACACATTTATAACAAAATGTTCATGTTTGTAAAAATATTTGAAATTTTTATATAAAAAATAAGTGTTCACAGAGCAAAGTGAAAAAAAAGCCCAACAGAAATAAGAGTACAGAACAAAAGTGTAATAATATGCTGAACACTTTCTTAACACACGGCAATGTGATGAACATTTTTTTAATACTTGAGGAGTCTTTTTAAAGCACAATGAATAAATTTTCTACACACGATTATGTTGGCATTTCTTGTAAAACATAAAGGACAAGTTATTCATATCGCTTAACAATGTTTCAATACGCGAATAACACTTTTTCAAGACATAACGAACCTTTTTAAGAAAAATTTTGTGTATTGAAAATAAATTAAACCCGTTAACAGTCGCGGTAAGGGCGCTCGCTCGCGCGTGCCACGTCGCCTGCTCGCGCATGCACGTCCCGTCTTTACTGTGTCGAAGTAAAAAAAAAAATGAAAGGAGCAGAAAATGCGTCCCGCGGTAACGCCTTCCCTGGGTAAAAATCGTTTCCTTGCCTTCCCCACGAAGCCAACCTGCCTTCCTCCATGAATCTGGCCTTCCTCCGCTCGTCCTCCCCCATCTCCTTCCTCCATGAATCTGGCCACACGCTGCCCTTGCCTCTTCCCTTCCGGTCCTTTCATCAACGACCACCTGTAGGTAAAGGAGATGACGTCCTGGATTCCGCCTCATCCTCTTTCCAATCCGACGCCTCCACACACCCGCTCCCTCGCCATCGGCGGCGCCGCCGCATGCCGGTCCTCCGTGCGTCGCCTCCTCTTCCTCCACGACCCCTCCACGTACTCGCAGACGACGGCAGCCGGAACCGCCCCCGTCGCCCTCGTCACCTCCACTTGTTCCACGATCTGGCCAAGCCACCGAGAGAAAGCTGTTCGCGGTGTTGTAGCGCTGCTGGGGAGCTGCGCGTTATGATGAACATCTGCCTCCTCCTCCGTGTCATGCCCTGGTAGAGCGGCCACTTCCTCCCATATTCTTGATGTTTATTTTGTTTTATTATCCATTGGGTTATTTTTTGTGATCGCTCATCCCCATATTTCAGTAATTCTGTTGAGTAAATAGGCAATTTCTCGATTAAATTAATCCATGAGTAAATCACTAGCATGGCATTGACTAAGTTGATGACGTACTGACTCTGATCTAAACATGCACGTACTAAGCAAACAGTAGACAAATCTACACATACTGCTAGTACTGCTAATATGAAAATAATCAGGAGCGGGATAAACGAGTTATACCCTCCAGTAGGCCACGCAGAGGCCGCGGCTTTGGTGGCAGCAGCGGCGTCCTCGGCGACCTTCTTGTCGGCTTCAGCTTTCTCGGCGGCGGCACGGTCGGCGTCGGTGGACATGGTGATGACGAAGGCGACGCGGACGTAGAGGAAGTAGACGATCGGAAGCGAGCAGTCGCGTAATCGCTGCCCAAAAACCTATTCGCCCCTCACCCCGTACAGGAACCAGAAGGGCGTGGTTTCGGAGACCTGCTCTCCCGTCGACCGTGTACGTGGCGGACGGGATGGAGTCACCGGCGGCAGCAGCAGCAAAGGAACGACGGTGGGCGTGCGCGTGAGCAGATGTGATCTGTTCGTGACGGCTAGGGTTAGGAGACACCGCATACTTATAGGCGCAGCCGCGTGGAGAGACGTGGGCTCGACCCACGTCCGAGTCCGTGACAGCCCACGATCCGACGTCTCAGATCGTGGCCCAGCTGTCAGAAAACTCTCCGTTAGTGACTGGCAAAAATAAGCGCGTAGGTGTGAGCTCGGCTCGGCTCAATCCCGCAACCCGCGGCGCGTCGTGACGAGGCGGGCGGCGGAGGAGGAGTGCGCGAGGGCCTCTTCTCTTCTCAAGCTCCAATAGCATGTAGAAGAGAAACCCTTATAAACCACTCCAACTCTCCTTCCACTTCCGGGGTGGGACTAAACTTCCCACCACACCTAGTGCCATATAACCCACATGGGCCCTTAGAGATTTTTCAGAAATTGCAATATGGGCCTAGAGCCCATCTCAGATTTCAGCAATCCCCCACCAGATCTCGAGGGCCCATTGTGTCCTCTGTTCCAATTGCTGTTTCGATATACCAGTGTTTCAGTAAAGACCTGTTAAGGTTGAACTTCACCTAGAACAAGTGGCTACACTCCTTCACAACTGAACAATGGACTATGCCTTGAATTGTCAGTTTGACGTAAAGAAGTTTCACTACATGTCTTACTAGTACTAGGCTGCCGAAGGCTGACCCCTCGGGTGGAGCATATAAGTCACACTCCTGGCCTATTCATGAGCTTACTAGAGATCACCCCAATCTCATAGACTGTGACCAGCAGTCGGGCTCATATAGGTGTGTTCCTCCAAAGATCGCTCTGTAGGATAGCATCTTGCTTTTATAAGCTTTGGAACACATTGAGACCGTAGTCATCCTACCATACAGTATCGAGAGTATTGCATCTCCAACGGAGTGGGTTAGTATAGTTACTCTCCTCAGTTCACCATTGGCTTGTTTTCCCAGGTCCTAGTTCACGGGATCTTCGATCATATAGGTTGGGTTACCACCATGGCAACTCATGTGGGTCTCATACCCATCTCCCTCGATGCATTATCTATCACAACACATGATAGCCCTTTTGTAAAGGGATCTACCAGATTCTTAGCCGTATGGACATAGTCCAACGCTATCACTCCGGAGTTTCTTAATTTTCTGACAGCTTTTAATCTCATTCTTATGTGTTTGGTGGACTTCATGTTGTCCTTTGAACTCTTCACCTTGGTGATGACAGTCTGATTGTCACAGTTCATAAGGATAGCCGGAACCGGTTTATCAACCAATGGCAAGTCCATCAAAAGATCTCGAAGCCATCTCGCTTCAACACCAGATGTGTCTAATGCCGTTAATTCTGCTTCCATTGTCGATCTCGTTAAGATCGTTTGCTTGCAAGACTTCCAGGAAACAGCGCCACCTCCAAGAGTAAACATATACCCAGTTGTGGCCTTCATCTCATCAGCATCAGAGATCCAATTCGCATCACTATACCCTTCAAGTACCGACGGGTATCCGGTATAGTGAAGTCCATAGTTCATAGTACCTTTCAGATAGCGCATAACTCTCTCAACAGCATGCCAATGTACATCACCCGGTTTGGAAACAAACCGGCTCAGTTTGCTCACAGCAAACGCGATGTCAGGCCTCGTTGCGCTCGCTAGGTACATCAGTGAACCAATGATTTGAGAGTATCTCAATTGATCTTTAGCCATGCCTTTAGACTTTCGAATCAATACGCTAGGATCATATGGTGTTTGAGATGGTGTGCAGTCCGAATATCCAAAACGACTCAACACCTTCTCAACGTAATGGGATTGCAGAAGTGTGATCCCACCCTCATTATCTCTCAGTAGCTTGATGTTCAAGATAACATCAGCCACACCAAGGTCTTTCATCTCAAAGTTCTGAGATAGAAACGATTTGACCTCCTCAATGACTTTGAGGTTTGTTCCGAATATCAGTATGTCATCAACATACAAGCACAGTATAACTCCTTCGCCCCCACCATGGCGATAGTATACACATTTGTCAGCCTCATTAACAACGAAACCAATAGATGTCAGAGTTGTATTAAACTTATCATGCCATTGCTTAGGTGCTTGTTTCAGGCCATATAAAGATTTTATCAACCTACACACCTTTCTTTCCTGACCATCTATCACAAAGCCATCAGGCTGTTGCATGTAGATTTCCTCCTTTAGCTCTCCATTTAGAAAAGCCGTCTTAACATCCATCTGATGGACGAGAAGACCATGTGAGGCCGCCAGCGAGAGTAATACTCGAATGGTGGTCAGTCTAGCCACAGGTGAATAAGTATCAAAGAAATCTTCCTCTTCTTGCTGGTCATAGCCCTTGGCCACAAGCCTAGCCTTGTACTTTTCAATCGTACCATCGGGCCTAAGCTTCTTTTTGAACACCCACTTACATCCCAGTGGTTTGCAACCATAGGGACGGTCAGTGATCTCCCATGTCCCGTTAGCCATGATGGAATCCATCTCGCTACGGACCGCATCCTTCCAGTAGTCAGCTTCTAGAGAGGCATACGCTTCTGAAATAGAAGTGGGAGTATCATCCACGAGGTACACGAAGAAATCATCACCAAAGGTCTTTGCAGTCCTTTGTCTCTTGCCCCTACCAAGGGTTTCCTCGTCATCCTCCTCGGGATTTTCATCATGTGTTTGTTCATAATATTCCATAAGGATGGCAGGTTCAGGAGTCTCCTCAGATTCCTGTCTAGAAGTGCTTTGCATATCTCTCATAGGAAAAATATCCTCAAAGAATGTAGCATCCTTAGACTCCATAATTGTACCGATCTTCTGGTCAGGTACCTCAGATTTCACTACTAGAAATCTATAGCCAACGCTGTTCTTAGCGTAGCCCAAATTAATGCAGTCCACGGTCTTATGTCCAAGCTTACGCTTTTTGGGGATCGGCACGTTGACTTTCGCCAAACAGCCCCAAGTGCGCAAGTACGAGAGTGTCATCCTTCTCTTTGCCCATTTCTCATAGGGAGTGATCTCACTATCCTTTGTCGGAACTTTATTCAGGACATGACATGCCGTCAATATAGCCTCCCCCCACCATGCCTTGGATAAACCCGATGTATCTAACATGGCGTTAACCAAATCAGTTAGAGTACGGTTTTTCCGCTCGGCAACCCCGTTTGACTGGGGTGAATAGGGAGGCGTCCTCTCATGAATAATGCCGTGTTCCGCACAGAAGGAATCAAACTCACTCGAGAAGTACTCTCCACCATGATCTGACCGGACTCGTTTAATTTTCTTTTCAAGTTGATTTTCAACTTCTGCCTTATAGATTTTAAAGTAGTGTAGAGCCTCATCTTTAGTATTTAACAGATACACATAGCAATATCTAGTGGAATCATCTATCAATGTCATGAAGTATCTCTTTCCACCTTTAGTCAACACACCATTCATCTCACAAAGATCAGAATGTATGAGTTCTAATGGTGCCAGGTGTCTCTCCTCCGCGGCCTTATGAGGCTTGCGAGGTTGCTTAGCTTGCACACATGAAAGGCACTTAGAACCTTTGGCTAAAGTGAAACTCGGGATTAAATCCAACTTGGCTAGCCGCGTCATAACACCAAAACTAATGTGACAAAGACGTGAATGCCAAACTTCAGATTCATTAACATTCGAATGAATATGGTTCACGACTTTATTACAAAAATCTGCGAGGGAAAGGCGGAACATCCCTCCGCTCTCATAACCTTTTCCAACAAAGAGTCCATATTTTGTAACAACTAATTTATTAGACTCGAAAACCAACTTAAACCCTTCTGTACATAGAAGGGAGCCACTAACGAGGTTCTTCTTGATGGCGGGGACATGCTGCACGTTCTTCAGCTGCACGATCCTTCCCGAAGTAAACTTCAGATCGACCGTGCCAACACCGTGAACAGAAGCACTCGCGCCATTCCCCATCAATACGGACCCGTGACCTGTGACCTGGTAAGAAGTGAACAATGAAATGTCAGCACACACATGAACACCTGCACCTGTGTCCACCCACCAATCGTTGGGTTGAAACACTGAAAAAACAGTAAATAAATTACCGTACCCAGATGCACCATTCTCATTGTTGCCCACAATCATGTTGACAGACTTGGAGTCCTGTCCTGACTTCTTGTACTTGTTTGGGCACTTGTTGGCCCAATGTTCAACCGAACCACAAGTAAAGCAGCCCTCGTCCTTCTTGTTCTTCTTGAAGGTCTTCTTACCCTTCTTCTTAAAGTCGGTATTGTGTTGGACACCGTTCTTTCCCTTGGGCTTGTGGGAGTTGAAGTTCTTCTGGTTCACCATGTTGGCAACAGAAGTCCCTTCGGCCCCTTTTCCGTGCGAGTCTTTTGCCCTCGAATTCTGCTCAACACTCAGATGGCCAATGACATCCTCCACAGAGAATTCACGCCTCTGATGTTTCAGAGTGGTGGCAAAGTTCCTCCAGGAATTAGGGAGCTTAGCGATTATGCAGCCCGCGACAAACTTGCCCGGTAACTCGCACTTGAGAAGCTCAAGTTCCTTAACAATGCATATTATCTCATGAGCTTGCTCCAATACAGGATGGTTTTCAACCATCTTGTAATCGTGGAACTGCTCTATAATATACATCTCGCTCCCTGCATCGGCGGCCCCGAATTTAGATTCGAGCGCCTCCCACAAGTCCTTGGCGACATGCACATGTAAATATGCGTCGACCAGTTTATCTCCGATCACGCTAAGAACTGCTCCGAGAAACACAACGGTAGCCTCCTTGAACGCCTTCTCCTGTTCAGGAGCAATCGTTCCCGTGGAGACACCGGTGACCCAGAACACGTTCATAGCCGTGAGCCATAACGTGGTCTTAGTCTGCCAACGCTTGAAGTATGTACCGGTAAACTTATCCGGTTTCAGTGCAGCGGCAAAGCCACTTGCCGAGAAATTCCTACACATAATAGGTTTTTGGATTGTTGAGTAAATAGGCAATTTCTCGATTAAATTAATCCATGAGTAAATCACTAGCATGGCATTGACTAAGTTGATGACGTACTGACTCTGATCTAAACATGCACGTACTAAGCAAACAGTAGACAAATCTACACATACTGCTAGTACTGCTAATATGAAAATAATCAGGAGTGGGATAAACGAGTTATACCCTCCAGTAGGCCACGCAGAGGCCACGGCTTTGGTGGCAGCAGCGGCGTCCTCGGCGACCTTCTTGTCGGCTTCAGCTTTCTCGGCGGCGGCACGGTCGGCGTCGGTGGACATGGTGATGACGAAGGCGACGCGGACGTAGAGGAAGTAGACGATCGGAAGCGAGCAGTCGCGTAATCGCTGCCCAAAAACCTATTCGCCCCTCACCCCGTACAGGAACCAGAAGGGCGTGGTTTCGGAGACCTGCTCTCCCGTCGACCGTGTACGTGGCGGACGGGATGGAGTCACCGGCGGCAGCAGCAGCAAAGGAACGACGGTGGGCGTGCGCGTGAGCAGATGTGATCTGTTCGTGACGGCTAGGGTTAGGAGACACCGCATACTTATAGGCGCAGCCGCGTGGAGAGACGTGGGCTCGACCCACGTCCGAGTCCGTGACAGCCCACGATCCGACGTCTCAGATCGTGGCCCAGCTGTCAGAAAACTCTCCGTTAGTGACTGGCAAAAATAAGCGCGTAGGTGTGAGCTCGGCTCGGCTCAATCCCGCAACCCGCGGCGCGTCGTGACGAGGCGGGCGGCGGAGGAGGAGTGCGCGAGGGCCTCTTCTCTTCTCAAGCTCCAATAGCATGTAGAAGAGAAACCCTTATAAACCACTCCAACTCTCCTTCCACTTCCGGGGTGGGACTAAACTTCCCACCACACCTAGTGCCATATAACCCACATGGGCCCTTAGAGATTTTTCAGAAATTGCAATATGGGCCTAGAGCCCATCTCAGATTTCAGCAAATTCCCCTTTCCCTGCTCCCTATTTCTTGATTGTTAGACATGTTATTAGTTAGTGGTTTTGTTATTTCTTTATTCTAGGATGGCATCTCTGTTACTAAGATGAATTAAGCAGGCTGGAGATAGCACTACGTATGATTTGCCCGTCACATGTTTGTATTAATGCCATATACTTAAAGTGAGGTTTCTTTTCTACTTTAGATAAATTTGCTATCTATTTTCCATGGATGTGGCAAGTTATTTATGATGATAAAGTGCCTCTGGTTAAAATTTGGAGTTCTTCTCCAATATTTAAGGATGATAGATTACCCGTGCTCACAGGTCCTATTATTTTTTTGGTTTCTTCTTCTTGCCTCTAATGCATCTTCAGATTTTGTGGGCTATTTTGGCTCCTTGCTGGGTATTTGTTTCTTGGATTTTAGCTTCGTTTTCACCTGATTGACTATTCTTTATGCACTACCTAATTTGTTTAGCAGGTACCTATCTTTGGTTTTGATTGATGCCTCACATTTCTGTTAGAGCGTTGGTAAGTAGCAGATTTCTTGGGAGTTCAGGTAGCTGCTTTGTCTCCAACACCCAACCCCATTTATTTTATTTAGGTCTTGATGCTATGGACATTGTTTGGTGTCGCTTGGATTCAGACCTGCTGTATTGGGCACAAAAAATATAAGATCACACATGGACACATTGCAAGTGTGGATAGAAATATATTGGTGGTGCATTGTCACATGTATGCTACATCTGTAATCGGAGATTCAGGTCATACCAGTTTTTTGGTCTCTTCATTTGTGATACTTTTTTCCTTTAGGAAGTCATTGCCTTTTTGCCAAGAATTCATCACTGAAAGAGCTGAAGTTGAGATCTCCGTTTAAAGCAGTGATTAATTACTGACCGTAAAATAATTTGTCATCGTGAGATTCTTCAACTGTCGGTTCGCCATCAATTTTAGGATTTAACCAACTAAAATGAAACCAAGATACAGTTGCTGCTGCACTTATGAGCAAATTGTACAGGGTAAAGACATGCAGCTGCTCAAGAACAGGGGAAGGACCAATCTGCTGTTTCGGTTGTTTATGTGCGCTGAAGATTGTTCATACCCGTATCCCGAAGATAGAAGGCAAAATAATCCAATTCATCACATTTGAATTTCCTAATCCAACTTCAGTAGTTAAACACTTTAAGTTGTTCTCCCTAAAGTTACATTCTTGCCAGTTAATCTCATGGCCTAACCTTTGTGATCAAATTGTCTCCAGAGTTAAGTACGCAGATCGTGTAACTTTAATACGAGGAAATCATGAGCAGGCAGATTACACAAGTGAGGGACCATTTTCAAGTTGGGTAATTTTTAGTGATGTTATGATAGTTGTCATTTATTCTTTGAACTCATGCATTGCTGCAGGTTTATGACTTCTATGATGAGTGTCTTCATGAATACGGCTCGGTGAATGTCTGGAGATGTTGCACAGAAATATTCGACTATTTAAGGTAATATTTCTATGTTGCTTTTATATTGCATGATGTAATGCTATGAGGCTGCTACTGTGTTTCTTTGAATTAAAACCATAATCTACAAGAGCTGATGTATTTGTTATATTCAGTTTGTCTGCACTTACTGAGAACAAAATCTTCAATGTCCATGGAGGCCTTTCCCCTGCTATTACGGCAGTGAATCAGGTAAATCATTCGCTGGTGTTATATTTTGTATAGTTCATAGATTCGATTTCTATTATTTTATTATCATGTGCCCCCAACAAATCAGAATCATACTTTCTCCAGTGTTATAGTTCTTTACAGAGGGAGTAGATCCCAAGCAGAAAGTGCCTCATGATGGAGCCATGTGTGACCTTTGGTCTGATCCAGAGGATGTTGAAGATGGTTGGGCATTAAGTCCATGATGTGCTATTGGATCACCCTTTCGTTTGCAAAAGAAATTTTAGCATAAAAAAATTGTCGGTTTTATGCATGTCAAAGAAACATTTTTTCAAGGACAACCATTCATGTGTTTTGTTTCTGTATCTTGAACTACTCTTTCGTTTGGCTTTGTCAAAATTTGACATGCTTGTGCTGCTTAATATCTGTAGGCTTTATTTCACTTGGAGAAAAGTAATCAGGAGCTCAAGGGTGACCTCAAGTACATGTACGTCTACACTGCAATGTAAGTAGATAATCCAGATGGATGTCGTTGGGAACAGGAAGGCAGTTGTGATCTATGTGCCATACTGTCTGCGCAAGGCCTTCAGGAAGATTCACGATGGATTAGTTTGCTCTTTTCATTATCCAGTCTTCCTGTTTTAGAGCAAATAAATCAGATTTATTGGTAGATTAATTTTTAGGCGTCTGCATTGTTGTGATGCTCATGGTTGCTGATTTCAGTCTGTATTAACCAGTTCTTGTGTTGACTGGAGGAAAGGTTGGCCGTATCAGTCATCCATCTTGTAAGATTGTCACCTCTCTGTTAATATATACTCCCTCGGTCCAAAAATAAGTGTCTCAACTTTATACTAGTTTTAGTACAAAGTTGTACTAAGCTTGGGACACTTATTTTGGGACGGAGAGAGTACCTATTAGCTTGCTCTGCTTTATGAGTAAACACTTTTTCAACAATCGTCGCATGAGTTGACCAGCATTTCCATTCCATGTACATGTTCTGTCGCATGAGTTGACCAGCATTTCCATTCCATGTACATGTTCTGCCAGCTTGCTCTGCTTGCTATGCTTTATGACTGAAGACTCTACTGCTGCAGTTTTATTAAATGTATTTTTTTAGCAATTGGCGCTCACGTGGACTGCACACAAACGTCAACAACTAAAACAGCTAGATTAGTGCGCAAATGCACGCCTCAAGAGGCGCGCCCAGGGCGCGCCCCAGCCACTAGAATTCATGTAACTCAGAAGTTTTCACACATTTGTAACAAAATGCTCATGTATTTGTAAAAAAATTATAAATTTGTTATATATAAAAATTGTTCACAGAACTAAAAAGAAAAAAAAACAGCAGAAATGGGAAGAAACAAAATATAATAACCAAAAAGGAGAAAAAATATTCAGAAGCTTTTTTTTACTAGTAATTGTGTACATGCAACGCATGATCCAAAATTTATTTTTTTGATTTTTTATTATTCTATGTTTTGCTTCTCCAGATTTACTTAATCAGTCTTGCTACCGGTGAATATCAATATCGTGACGGTGGGGGTGAGACACCGACGGTGGCACGGTTCACTTACATGTTGTAGTCTATGGATCATGTCGATTTGTTTGGAAACATTTTGAGTTACGATGTTCTTTAGATTGCTAATTACGGTGCTTTGATTGATTGATACAATGTTTATTTTTGAAATGCTAATTACGGTGATCTGATTGATTGATCTGATGTTTTTTCTTTTAGAATTTGATTGGTGTTTAAACTGGTACAACGTCATTGGAGCAATGTAAGTCATAGATCTACGGTCATAACTCGCTTGTTTAATAGTTGAGTGGAGATGGACATACCATTGTTACATTGGAGTCTCATATGGAGCCATCTTAGGGCATGTGGCCTCTGAGCCGTCGGATTAGGTGTCCAAACAGATCCTGGTCGTCCGATATTTTGATGGATTGATCCTGGCCATTGGATCTTCACTGATGTGACAATCAATGAAAGTGACTGCTATTCCTCCCCCGGTCAGCTACCCTCGTGCACGATGACATGCAAGACCTGGGCGCTATGGGCCACGACAGTCAGTGACCGAGTGGGTGGGCTGCGCCCGTTGCTGCTTCTTCCGTGCGAGATGGCGTGCTACCGCCTGCAATCTTCGGTGCCCGCAGAGGGCATTGTTGGTATTTCGCGTGTTCTCCCTTGCATGGCGCTTTGTGTGTGGCTGTCTCTTGGGGTAAAGGCGAGGGTCCGGTTGGTTGGGCTAGAACCGTAGCACACTCTCTCTCTCTCTCTATTTTGCCGTTCTCCTCTTCCTCTCTTACATCCAGGCGCCGTCGTCTCGCCGCTTCTCCCGTCGTCGATCCTCAGGTCTGGTCCGTGTCCCCGCTTGTCGTCTCTTGGTTGATATGTGTGTGCCTGTCCTCTGATGTGGTGGTGTAGTTTCTAGGTTCGACTGACGGCTAGGGTTGGATTTTTGTTGTGGATGATGCCTCTCCGTTCTTTGCCCAGTTGACTGCGATGGATGAGGTGATTTCTCACGCTTGGCTCTGATCTACTCTCGATTTTTGTAATCTCCTATTGATTGCTTGGATTTGTTTCCGTCCGTTGCGCAGGATTGGGGTTAGAGTTTGCTGAGATTTGGCCCTCGGTCGTTGTCGTGTCGTCCTGGTCTTCAGCTTCCAAGGGATTGGATCTGGTGCGGGTGTTTCTTGCTGGGGTGTCTGTTGACGGTCCTTGGACAGATACTTTGCTGGATTCTTTTTTTGCCATATGTTTGCCTCTATGCTCGTCTTGTTGGTTGTAATTGGTTGTAATGGTTGTTGCATAGGAGTGTTTAGTACGGCAGTCCTGTTGTTTGATGGTTGTGATGCCTTTGTTAAAGCCTTGGGTCAGGAGGATCCGTATATACGTGGTTCAGGCTACTTTTGGTTATGGATATGAGCTTGTCGTGTGTTTAGATAAAGTGGTTCGTGCTTAGGTGTAGGGGTTTGCTTTGACTGGATGCTATTTTTACTTTGTAGGATCTGCTTCTTGAGGTTTGTCCTGGATATATGTCTCAGCAACATGGCTGGTATTCTAGCTTATGTGTCGTGTTCCGGGGTGTGGTGAGCACGCCGGTTGATATTTGAATTCATGTATACTTACAGACTAGGTAGGATGAACGATTGTCAAGTATTAAAAGGTGAATTATGCATTTTGGTTCCCGGTGTGCTGATTTATGGTCCTGGGGCTTTTAGTTTGGGTGATTTGCTTCTCGTATATGCTTTTTATTTCCTATCTAGATGCTTTGTGTTGTTCTTTTGAACTGAATGATCTAACGTTTGTTCCTGGCTTTTTTTTCTCTTTCTTGTGAGGAGTGGGTTTAATTTTTGATGGGTCTTATTTATGGCTGGATGTTTGCTGTGAATTGTTCGTATGTGCATCTGTTGGATGTCGTCGTCTCTCGATGTCGTTTGCCATTCCACTCATACCCGCGAGAGGTTATGGAAGATGGTGATTTGCTCGGTGGAGTCGAGATTGAGGTTGATGTTCTTGGGAGTGATGCATTGACAGTCTGGAGGTTCTTCTGGTCCCAGGCCAGTGTGGGCTTGTCCATTTATGAAAGCGCTGCTTTCCAGGCAATTTGTTTTCTGCAAGGGGTGTATGGGTTTGTTCTGTTGGATTACAATTATAGAAGTATGTCTACTTATCGAGAGCTTGCTCGCTCTGCGGTGGTTCTGGCTGCGTCGTTGGTCAGGGCATAATTACAATAAATGATTCCAACTCGACGAACCTCAAGAAATGCCAGAGAGAGCTCAGAGCTAAGCAGTTCTGGTCATCAGTGCTATTTGAGCGTGCAGAATCCTTTCAGAAATAGCTCGCCTCTTTCACCGCGACAAAGAAAAGGCCTCATTCAGAGAGTGACGATGATAGCACTCCAGCACCTGAAATGTGTCAACGAATCAGAGGTAATCATGTTGTTGTTCTGCTTTTCGTTTCCATTCCGGCAATACCAAATGTTGTCTTACATACAACTGACCATTTACATCAAGGATGGCCTCAATGACACCGCCGGCTCGCTCCCACCATACGAAGAAGCATCAGACAAGTAACATGCCCTCCCTCTCGCTCTTCAGACTAGTGCAGCTATATGCGTTACTCATGTTTGTTGTTTTCCCAGTGAACGGGATCACGGGCCCAGCAAGAAAACAAAGTCTCAGCCTACTGCCCGCAGGACATTAGTCTTTAAAGACTGAATGCACGGGTCGCATGTAAGACAATTTCTAAAATCATTTCATATGTAGTACCCTTAGATTCACTCCTCGGACCTTGCTCGTCTTGCATACAATTGTCGTCCTTTAATTATTTTGTATTGGTCCTTATAGCATGCTGAGTGTAAATCCCTGTGTTGCGTTGTTGATGTATGCATTCCCCTTTATAATTGTACATGCCTTGTCTGTCATTGCCACCCTCTTTGTGATGCCAACTTATGTCCTGCCCGAGACTTGAATGATGTATATGCTCGATTTCTTCAATACATCCTATGATTATGTGTTTTCTTTCATTATAAACATCAAAATGTATCATGCTAGCTCAGTGTTATTTTCTTGTGTATTGTTCAATACATATAAACAATGTGCTCAAGATAACTTTATTTATCTGGTGTTGCATGCGTCAATATTGCCCGTGGATATGCCTATGAATCTTGACATCTAACTGCTTTATCATCCCCAACATCCAGGATACATAGACGGGGATGACGTTGGAGTTTTGCCCTCTGTCTATGCCTCAAGTATCGATTATGCCTCTCTGTGATGTCACTCCCATGTCATCTTTATTTTGTTTATTCAGCAAATGATGGATTAGACGAGGATTTATTCGCACTGAATCTGTACAACTATGGACTATTTATGCAGTCTTTTATTTAAGCTTTGAAATGAGTGGATTGGATGCTTAGTTTGAGCATTTGTCTTGCATGTTTTTTCGTGGCGTTATATTATCTATTTACGACTTACTCCTGAAGGATTATCACTCTACATGAACTTTTTTGTGTTTGCGATTTTTAATACTTGAAAGGGAAACGTTTCAGAACGGCGCGCCGGCCGAACGATTCGGCCGGTCGCGTTGCGTGCGCTCGATCAACCTACATAGATCGTGTGTCTATCGCACGCCTCCTGTGTTTTCTTCTTCTTTGTCTTATCTTCTTCCTTCCATCTCAACTGACCACCTCCTATCCTCTTTCCCCGGCGAGCACCAACAGCCTCCTGTGCAGCCGTGCACTCCCCTTGCCGCCGCTGCAAACCAGCACAGAAACCCAATCCCATGCCGTTTTCGCTGCAACCTCGTCGCCATGGCAGCGCCCTCGCGCCCCGCGCCTGTCGCCATGGCCGCGCGTGATGGGGGCCAGAATCGGATGCTGCAACCTGCAAGCCAAGCGGTGCGACGAGCGATGGCCGGAGCTGCGACCGGCACCACGCAAGTGGAAAAGAATTGCAACTATTGATAGAAATGTTTCAACAGTAGATATTAAAGTTTCAACCATAGTTGCTTTTTGCTACTACTGGCGAAATTTTTGCTACATCCATCAAGGCGGAGCCGAACCTCGCGACGGCAGCGACGACGATTTGCTGCAGCCGTAATCGGTTTTTGCTACTACCGGCGAAGTTTTTTGCTGCATCCAACAAGGCGGAGCTGTGACCTCGCGACGGAGACGATGATGATTTGTTGCAACCATAGTCGTGTTTTGCTACAACCGGCGAAGTTTTTGCTACATCCATTCAAAGGCGTTGATTGACTGGTGGGCGTCGCCGACGCAATTCCGTTCAGCGAGCATCAACGGCGAGGGTCGGTGGCGGAGCTACAACCAGAGCTACAACCGTCGCCGCTGAGAGCTGCAACCGCAGGTGGAGCTGTTGCATGGGTCGAGGCAACGACGAGGACGACCAGCGAGGGTAGGGACCGGCGACGAGGGCGGCCGGCGAGGATGGGGACCGACGACGAGGATGGTCGGCGAGGGTGGGGACCGGCGACGAGGACAACCACCGGAGGGGCAGCGCGGGACGGCTAGATGCAGGGAGCTGCAGGAGGGTAAGATGCGTGAGGAGGAAGAAGATCTGGGGCGAATCGTTTTTTTTCTTTTTTTGCTAGATCAAACGGCCAGGAGTATTGGCATCCTGCGGCCAGGGCGCGACCGGCCCAAACTTTGGGCCGGCGCGCCGGCGCAGATCACTCGCCTACTTGAAATGCTTCGGTGGTTGTATAAATAGATTGAACAAAAATATGGCAAGCCGCATTTTCTAGCTAGTGGAGATACATGGCGAAGCAATTTTATAAGCGTTGAAGCAGCGATGGCGTTAATATTGTTCCTCGCATTCCACATGCCCTCAGCTGCACCCCACAGGCATCTAGGCGTTGGCACAACCAGCGAGCTCCAGCTGCAGGTCTTCCATACCTGTCGTGCGCCAGCACTCCTTCACCTTCTGCAACTTCTCAGCTGCAATTTTTTCTTCTTGTAATGCTGCTGTTGTCTATGCGTGGACCAATTTCTCGGCAACCACACACGAACAGAGGAGACGGGCAACCCACATTGCAGTTTTCTTCGGGCCATAAGCAAAGAAATCGCCAGGCCGCAGCTAGTGCGCGTCAACGCAAGACAAGATGCAATCTGTCAAGGAGCTCGTCCTCCGCTGCCTATGGCTCTGCACGGAGGCGGAAGCCAAGCCCGATCACGCCCTTGCCGCCAGCGACGGCCTGCAGGCGTTCGCCCCGGCCGCCAGCGACGGCCTGCAGGCGTTCGCCCTCGTCCTGAACAAGCGCCTCGCCGACGACGACGCCGGCAGGAGCGGCAACCTGGTCACGTCGCCGCTGTCCGTCTACGCGGCGCTGGCCCTGGTGGCCGCCGGCGCCCGCGAGGGCACCCTCGACGAGCTGCTCCGCGTCCTTGGCGCGCCTTCCCGGGACTTCCTCGCCGGCCACGTCCGCGCGCTGGGAGAGCATGCCCTCGCCGACGGGTCCCGGACGGGCGGCCCGCGCGTCAGCTTGGCCTGCAGCGTGTGGCACGACGTGACGATGCCCCTCCGCCCCGCCTACCGCGCCACCGCCGCCGAGTCGTACAAGGCCGTCGCCCGCGCCGTCAACTTCCGCCAAAAGGTTAGTGTACATCGGCCGTCACCGTGATCGATCTGTGGCATGGCATGCACTAGTATACGATTGTCATTATGTACGTCGATCGTGGTACGTGCAGCCGGAGGAGGCAAGGGAGCAGATCAACGCATGGGTGGCGGCTGCGACGAACGACCTCATCCCCTCCATCCTCAGCCCCGACGCGCTGTCCAGCCTCACCGTCCTGGTGCTCGCTAACGCCATCTACTTCAAGGGCATGTGGGAGAAGCCGTTCGACAAGGAGCTCACCAAGGACGACAAGTTCCACTGCCTAGACGGCATCGCCGTGGACGCGCCCTTCGTGCGCGGCTTGGGCTGGCACTACATCGCCTGCCACGACGGCTTCAAGGTGCTCCAGCTCCGCTACGTGCAAGGTCACTCCTCGCAGGGCCAGCCGCAGCCGCCGCCGATCTACTCGATGTGTGTCTTCCTCCCCGACGCACGCGACGGGCTGTGGGAGCTCACCGACAAGATCGCCAGCAACCCCGACTTTGTGCGCAAGCACCTGCCGTGTGGCGACGTCATGGTCAGCGATTTCCGGCTGCCTAAATTCAAGGTCAACTTCGGCATGACAATGGAGGGCATTCTCCAGGACATGGGCCTCAACGAGGCCTTCGAGCCGGGGAAGGCCGACTTGTCCGACATGGCGGAAGACGGCACAGGGAAGTTGGCGCTGGAGAAAATAATCCACAGGGCCATCATCGAGGTGAACGAGGAAGGCACCGAGGCCGTTGCTGCCACCGTTGCGACTGTGATATTATGTTCTTCGAAAACTAGTGATGCGCCGCATGTGGACTTCGTGGCTGACCATCCGTTTGGCTTCTTCGTCATCGAGGAGGTGTCCGGTGCTACCCTGTTCGCGGGGCACGTCCTTGACCCCACGACCAACTGATGGAGGAAGGAAACTGCATTCATGATTGAATTCTTATATATATGGGCTTCTCATTACATCTGCTTTATTATGTTCGCTACATAATTCTATATATTCATGTTAAATGGTTACATTCACTTCCGATGACCGGGAAACTTTTGCTATGTTTTAGTTGCATTGCACAAAAAACAAAGGTTCATACGACTCTGCTTTCATTGGAACTAGGGATGCGTTTGGATAGAAGGAGATGCTGGGGTGGCTATGGGCATCCCTATCCAGCAGGATAAGGATAACCATATTTTCTGTTTGGTTGATGGATGAGATTAGCCCATGTTTTGTTTGGTTTGAAGGTTAATTTTGGTTGGGGATAGCCATTTTTCTGTTTGGTTGGTGGGTGAGGTTAGCCATTTTTCAATATGAGGCAATCAAATATGATATGTACAACAGCAAGTATAAGAACATTTTTAGAATCTTGAGCACCATACCAAAACAAACTCCAGCAAGTTATAATGAACGAAAAAATAAATTTCAACAAGTTAGAATGCATGAAAGAACAAATTTCAGCAAATTATAATGCATGAAAGAACAAATTTCAGCAAGTAATAATGCATGAAAAAAGCATTTCAACAAGTAATAGAATATATAGCTCGACATTCCATAGAATACTTGATCAAATATATAGTTATACAACCCATGCATAGTTCAATGTTTTGGTTGTAATCAAAAGAACAAGTCCATACAAGCCATTAGCTCCATTGTTTTGGTTGTCATCAAAAGTACAAGTCAAACTACCCATATAAACTCATCATGCGTCGGCTTCAGGGAAGGTACTCTTCACATACCTAGAGACCCAAACCTTTCTCTGGACATCTCCCAAGACCTTGAATGCTGTTGCAACACGAGGATTGTCAACCAAATAGGCATAGTAATGTGCAAGGGAATCCAAATCAAAACCAGGGAGTTCTTTCATCTCATCCCAAAGACCATCAATGGCGGGGTTGGCGCTGCTAATAAGTTTCTCTATGGCAACAGCAAGCCTTTCACTTGAAGCCATTATGGTTGCATGCATCCTGTCTTCTGCAGAAGGATTGGTTTTGGCTTTCTTCAACTTGGGAGCAGCTGACTCGCCACAAGTGGGTGATTGGGAAACCTCTTCATGAGGGGCAGCAGCTTTGTTGGCTTTCGGTTCTTCAAGATCAATCACATCTGTACCTAAAGGGTCACTTGAGCCTTTTGCATATTGCCCTGTAGCCATGCTAGCTCCAACGATAACCAGCATCTCTTCATAATGTTTAATAGGCTTGTTAAGGAAGGGTTCATCTTCTTTGTGGTCCTTTATAAACAAAGGTAATCATTTTAGCAAGGAATGGGAATACAAATAAATTATAGCAAGTTATAATGCATGAAAGAATAAATTCCAGCAAGCTATAATGCATGAAAGAATAAATTCCAGCAAGATATAATGCATGAAAAAGCTCATTTCAGTAAGGATTTGGATATAAAAGTACTTATCCCATCAAGGAAATGGAGTATAAAGAAGTGCAAGCAAGTGATAATGCATGAAAAAGCTCATCAGCAAGGATTTTGATATAAAATTACTTATTCCAGCAGTGAATGGAGTCATTCCAGCAAAGAAATAGCTCATTTCAGCAAGGATTTGCATATATATATATATATATATAACCAAATTCATCAAGTACTAAAAGGGCGGTGAAATAGATACCTTAATGTGGTTTGTGTAATGCTCATGATCAAGAACAATCATAAAGTTCTCTTCATCCCAAAGTGCACCACTCAATGATTTGAGGTGCACTATCTGTTTATACTTCCTCTTCCATGTCCTTGTATGATTTGTGATGTGGGTTCCAATTAAGTCAGTGCGGTTAAAATGTTCATTCATAGCCATGGCACAAGCATTCCAATGTACATTCTTGAAGGCGGTACCGGTTCTATGGCCACCGGTCACCACAGCACATAGGTTCGCTAGCATGTATGATGACATGGTAGGTGTCCATGAAATTTGCCTAGCAGCCATATCCTGAAATTGCAACAAATATTTAGACACAATGAATAAATTTCAGCAAGTATTTAGAGATAATGAACCAATTCAGCAAGCCTTTGGAGATAGAGAACCAATTCAACAAGTATTTGAAGATAAAAAACCAATTCAAGAAGTATTTAGAGATAATAAACCAATTCAGCAAGCATTTGGAGATAAAGAACCAATTCCACAAGTATTTGGAGACGAATAACCAATTCAGCAAATATTACAACGGATAAAATGACATTACAAAGTAATTCCAGCAAAAACAATAGTTCCAACAAGAAAGTACAATAGATTGTCGCAGCAAACTAAATGACATGGTAGCTACTACACGTTTTGATGTTGCATATAGTTTTGTCGGTCTTCCCACATTTGATCAGCAAGGCCTTGCCTAAAGTTAACCATGTATGCATGTTCTTCTGCTTGTCCAGTTGATGTTGAAGCATGAGTGATATTTGGCACCCATTCATCCTCAGGTATGATATATTCATCAATCCCATCATTTAGAACCCAATTTTGAATGATGCAGCAAGCCACAACAATATCTACTTGAGTAGGATAAAGAAAGAATGGAGTGGCATCATCAAGAATTTTGAATCTTCTCTTCAATGACCCAAATGCACGTTCTACGGTTGTGCGAAGAGAAGAATGCCTAAGGTTGAACAGCTCCTTCTCATTTTGCACAGGATTGTTTCCCCACTCATTCAAATGGTACCTCACACCACGAAAAGGTGGCAAGAACCCTGGTTTGACTCCATATCCAGCATCAACTAGATAAAATTTTCCTAAGTATGACAAACATTTGGGTTACTTACATATATACCAAAATCTCATTGACAACATGTATCTACACAGTTAATCTATTACCTTGTGGGACACGTAGACCGTTTTCACGTATTAAAGCATCACGTAAAACTGTAGCATCATGTGCTGTCCCTTCCCAACCAGCCAACACATATGTGAATCGAAGATCAAAATCAACAGCCGCCATCACATTTTGAGTAGTATGTTTCTTTCTACCACGAAAGGCAGGCTCCATATCAGGAGTAACAGAGGCACGTACATGTGTGCCATCAATAGCTCCAATACAATCCTATTTGATGGAAATAACACCCAAAAAAATTAGGATCTAAACAGATTTGTTTCTACAATGACAAAATGTAGTTGTCACTCAATCTCATACCTTAAAGTATGGATCCCACCGGTAGTTTCCTTCTACTTTGGTTTGAGTCTCCAATGAAGGCTTCCTAATAAGGTCATCTCGAAGCTCACCAATTGCATGGAGTACTCTATGGAAATACCGGCTAACAACTTCCCCGGATCTACCGAAATTCCCTCCAATTACCCTATTCCTGACATTATGACCAATGGTGTGCAAAAACATTGCTACTTGTTGCTCAATAGACATATGGACTGTGTCTTTTAGCAAATTGCGATCTCTAAAGAGTTGACAAAACCGAAAGAATGGTGCCCTCCGAAGCCTGAGCATGTTCACACTAGTTGTATCATTTTTCCATACTTTGTTATCAAAGTACTCTCTTCTCATCCTATCTCTCTCATCGATTGGGGCATATGTAATTGCTTCTCTCCTTTTTCTTTTTCTAGATTGAACAACCAAAGCTATCATATTGATAAACCATTGTGCCACTGCCGCACAAATTAACATCTTTGTCTTTTTGTCCATCTACAATATAATAGTACAAATGATATAACTTCAGCAGGAACAAGTCAACATGTACATCCTCTGTCAAGCAGTACATAGGAGGAGCAGTTAACAAGTTACCTTAGATTTTGGAGAGAAAATCAACGATAGGAAGATGTAGTAGTCCCTGACTTCCCTGTCGCCTTTGACCTGCCTTTGACCTGAGCTACTGCAGCACAAAGAAACAACAAAAAAAGATTAGCATGTTGGATAGAAAATCAATGGAGAAAGCACACATCAGTACATCTGGCCGCCGCAGTACACAAAGCAAGTTTGGCTGCAGAGCTAGCAAGATCCACGCAGCAAGCAGGGCCAAGCAGCTAGCAGGCCGGCGTACCGCGCACAACATCTGCTCTCACGCGGCGCACAGCATGCGCACTTGCCGGACAGATGCAGGGCCGGCGCAGCACCCGCGCACGGGGCGCACAGCAGGCGCGCCGGCCGGAGAGAAGCAGGGACGGCGCCGCTATCCTCAGGCCTCCGGCGGCCGCGCGCGGCACTCACCTGGCTGGCCGCCGCCACCATGACCTCTGATGGCAGATGAGGAGCGGAGGAAAAGAAGGAGAGAGCCACGACGCTGCGCACTCACCGCCGTCGTCGGGCTTCGATCTGCTGGCGCCGCTACGCACTCACCGCCGTCGTCGGGCTTCGATCTGCCGCCGCCACTGGACAGGAGAGAAGTGAAATGGAAAGGGGAAAAGAGATAAGGTTGCCCTTTTGTGGGAGGCGAATGAAACGAGACGGCGCTGAAAAACGTTTCACGGGCTCCCTTCGCGCCCCCCGCGCGCGCGGGATGCCCACATCCGCGAGATTTTCGCGGACCCGCGGAGCCGAGTTTTGGACGAATATTCGAAGCATCTAGCCATCCCTATCCCAACTCGCCCGTGAAACAAACGACTGCTATCCACTTAAAAAACTGCTATCCCTGTCCCATGGAGGGATAGCCCAGCATCCAAACGCATCCTAGATGATACCCCTATGTGTTGCAGTGAGAACATACGGGAATTGGTTGCAATATATTATTTTAATTAGGTTTGCTTGTCTTGAATTTAAATATGAGACTAAAGATAAAAAGTACACATGATTTGTTGTATTGGATCGTTATGTGGTTATAAAATAATTATTAAGTAGTATTTCTCACGCATTTTGAGAGAAGTAAAAGTAGTGGTGTTTATAAAATGGGATGTGTGCATGTTGACAGAATTATCTTTTTTTAGGGGTGAAACAATTCATAGGCAGCATTTTCATGCATGCAAATTAAGAGAAATAAAAGTAGTGAAGTTGATGAGGTGGCATGTGTGCATATTAAAATAGATTGAAGTAGTGGCGATCAACTAAGTATATAGGATTTTTCTAGTTTTTAGCTGCATTGCACAAAACAAATTTGTGCAACTTTATTATAGACATACTTTCTATTTCTCAAATGATTGAGAAATTTTCATTTTATAAAATCAAAGACCTTAGATATTGTTAAACCTTTCCCCTATCGCAGGACGACTAGGGAGAGCCTTCTTCCCCTCTATCTCAGCCGACGAGTCCGTGGATTCGCCTCCCCTCTGCCTGCCGCTCCGACGGACGGTGGCGGGGAGGGTATTCCTTGTGTGTCGACTTAGATAGGTAGGATTTTGGTTCTCGCAAGGCAGCGCTCAGACGAATGGTAGCACTTATTCGCTTCCGGACTCCGATCCTCCTCAAATTCGTTCGTCGGGACGGATTGGATGGAGCTCCGGCATATATTCCTACCAGCTCCGCGGAGCGGTGAGGTTAGGGTTTCTCGTCATACGTACGAAACGACGAGATTTGGTGTCAGGTTATTCAGATTGATTCAAGGATTCAATGGCGATGACTGCGGCTCCCAAAAGCTGGACCCCATGGCCACGTGCATATGAAGACTTCTCGGCAGGAAACTTCCCTCCGGGAGGGGGAAATCAAAGCCATCATCATCACCAACAATCTTCTCATCGTGGGAGGGCCAATCTTCATCAACATTTTCGCCAGCACCATCTCATCTCAAACCCTAGTTCATATCTTGTATTTAATCTTTGTCTCAAAACCTCAGATTGGTACATGTGGGTTGCTAGTAGTGTTAATTACATCTTTTAGTTGATGCTAGTTGGTTTATTTGGTGGAAGATTGTATGTTTAGATCCTTGATGCTATTCAATACCCCTCTGATCTTGAGCATGAATATGATTTGTGAGTAGTTACATTTGTTCTTGAGGATATGGGAGAAGTCTTGTCATAAGTAATCATGTGAATTTGGTATTCGTTCGATATTTTGATGATACGTATGTTGTTGCTTCCTTTAGTGGTGTCATGTGAACGTTGAATACATGGCACTTCACTATCTTTGGGCCTAGGGGAAGGCATTATGGAGTAGTTATTAGATGATGGCTTGCTAGAGTGACAAAAGTTTAAACCCTAGTTTATGCGCTATTCCGTAAGGGGCTGATTTGGATTCGTGTGTTTCATGCTATCGTTAGATTTATCTTAATTCTTCTTTTGTAGTTGCGGATGCTTGCAAAAGGGGGTAATCATAAGTGGGAGGCATGTTCAAGTAAGAACAACCACTAGTAGAAATGGGGGAATTTGTCCCGGTTCGTAAGGGCCTTTAGTCCCGGTTCATGAACCGGGACTAATGGGTCGTTACTAATACCTCCCCCCTTTAGTCCCGGTTCAAACACGAACCGGGACAGATGTGCCTCCACGTGGCCGGTGCGTCGAGCCCAGGCATGGGGGGCCTTTGGTCCCGGTTGGTGGCACCAACCGGGACCAAAAGTCGATGTTTTTTTTAAAAAGTGACTGCTTTAGGGGTTTTGGGGGTTATTTTTAGGTTGTTATTAGCTAGCTAATAGAGATAAGTGCCCTCTCTTATATCTTCGTCCTTGGTTTACCAACGCTGCTGCTATGTTCATTTCACTCGCTGATATAATAACTCATGCATGCTCGCATCATACATCATCATATATAATAACAAGTCCTACTAATCATGCATCATCATAAAACTTCTACTTGTTATTAATAATAAGTCATACGATCATCATCCCCATAGTCATCGAACCCAACCCTACATAATTGTTTTTAGCACATGATCATCAGTATCAGGTAGGACCTAAACACCCTTAAGGTAAAATAGCATAAAATAATATAGACCCTGACTCTCCATTATGAAGAATGGAGATCATCCTGTCTCCAATTCTTGCGCTTCGCTGCCTTTTGCTTCCAAGAAGCTCCTTACGACTCTCCATACATTTTTTTCCATTCTTTGATCGTCATGTCTCCACTTCTTT